AACCCGCCTGTTAGCTTGCCGGAAAGAGGAACATGAACACCAACTTCCTGCTGTTGATTGAAGATAATGAGTTAATGAAAAAAAAGACAGACCCGTGTGTTAACATACGTTTATAAACAAGAAAATATGTGAATCGTACCAACAGCAAAAATACGTGATCGAGAAGTCGTCTCCTCATGGATGAATGGATTCAGGTGAATCATCCTCTCATCGTCGGCTGCTATTTTTAAAGAAGTTATCCAAACTTGAATCCTAATCATAGACGACGTAGACATTCTGCACATTCCATAAGACGATCCTTTGAGGTCCTGCAAGAAAGCAATATAATGAAACACTATGTTCTACTTCTCGATCAATTTTTAGCTTCCGAACAAGTTGTAGTTAGCCAGCATTCCAACGAACAAGTGAGGCAATAATGTTAGGATGGACGCTTTTCGTTTGTGCTGTTCAATGCGACAAGACCATATCCACCGTCTTCAAAATCTTAGCAAAACAAAGAATTCAAGGCGGAGATAGGAGTCAGCCTCTCAACGGTTAACCACCTAGTTAAGAGTAAATCAATATCAGGATCCACCACCGTTCTGGTATCGAACTAGTCACATGGTAGAAACTCTCTCTCTGATCCACAAGAGCGGCGGCTGCCTGAGATGGTGAGGACCTGGGGACTCCAGGGGAAGACAACAACTAAAGCAACAAAACTCTAAAAAAGAAAAAGAAAATTATGTCGTGGTCCGCACAACCAGTGAGGACAGGCTGTCCAAGTATCGAAGCATTACTGTTTACATCAGTCATGCTCACTGATTAAATAACTTGCTCGATACGTATTTCTTGCGATTTTGGTTATGATCGGGGAATGGAACGATGGCAGTACACACTCTAAGAGTCATTCTACGATGAACCTCACATGAGTGAGAGTGTTGCAACAGCCTTTTGCTTTCAGATCATCTAGTCTCATTACCAACATCACCGTTTCCAAAGAAATACAAGCAGCGGATTCCATTTGGAAATCCTAAAGTCGAGGATACTGCGACCAGGCCGCGATAACTGTGTTGATTTATCCGCGGACCAAGTTGCCAAAGTCGATAATCCAACATTCACTTCTAAACAGTCACCGACCATCGTAGCAGGCATAATGCGAACGGTCTTTTCTTTATTGCACGGCACCTGAAAAGAAAAACAGAGAATTTTACTATGGAAGGAAACCAGTACCCTAGGATAAGAAGACTACATAGGAAAGAACCTGAAAGTGATCAAAAGCGAAATTATATTCACATATTTCAATACCGCCAAGTCAACCTTTATTTTGTTGCAAATTCAAACACCATCAAAATTTCAGTGCTAACTTTTTTGCTGCCAGCTACCATTTCTCACGGCTGAGTATCACGCGGCTAACTAGCTGATAGACAGGAGAAATGAAGGGCCCGCTTGTTGCGGTGGTGAANCGATAATCCAACATTCACTTCTAAACAGTCACCGACCATCGTAGCAGGCATAATGCGAACGGTCTTTTCTTTATTGCACGGCACCTGAAAAGAAAAACAGAGAATTTTACTACGGAAGGAAACCAATACCCTAGGATAAGAAGACTACATAGGAAAGAACCTGAAAGTGATCAGAAGCGGAACTATATTCACATATTTCAATACCGCCAAGTCAACCTTTATTTTGTTGCAAATTCAAACACCATCAAAAATTCAGTGCTAACCTTTTTGCTGCCAGCTACCATTTCTCACGGCTGAGTATCACGCGGCTAACTAGCTGATAGACAGGAGAAATGAAGGGCCCGCTTGTTGCGGTGGTGAACGCGCAAGGCCCCAGAAAGGGTAATAGCGTGTTTGTTCCTCACCGTAGACACCTGCGGTCTGGAATTTTGCAAATATCTCAGCAACATATGGCTGTATGTCCTCAAAATTTTTGATAATACGACAATGAGACCTCTGTACTAGTGAGGGGCCGCGAAAACAATGACCACTTTCGACTCTGAATGAACATGTCTCAGTTAGCGGCAAACTTTGTTTGTTTCAAAAGAAACGATTGTTTTGCCACGGTGAAACTCTGACCTTATGATGCTCACGACATCTGCATCTTTCACTTCATTGTTTCAAGTTTTATATTTCGAAGGCGGAAGTAAATTGACAACCTGAATTTCGTTCAACAGGACATGATGGTGTTCTCCAGCGTATCGTCCAAGTCCAGAGCAGCAGGACTTCTCCTAGAAACTTTAAAAACTCAAATTTCGCCGCTATTTTCCCAAAGTTTTAGTTCTACGGACAATTCAATTTTCATCGAAACTGTACCAAAAACTGATATGCAATCGATACGATAAAGCAAAATCTCTTCTATAAAGCTATGACGTGCTGAGCTCCCGGTACACTGTAGAAATCGAGACAAAATATCGTGAGCTACAGAGAATCGACGAGAATACAGAGAGAATTTACATCGACACATATCTGCATGGATCTATACACGCACAAATATACTATCCTGTTGGATGATTGCTGATAGCACCTTCAGTTTAAAACACGGAAACATGGAACGATGAACCCTCATGGCGTGATGGTGAACGTGTTAGCTTCCGGAAAAGTAGTAGCAACTTCGAGCCCATCCGCAATAACATGCGGTTCGGAGTTTTGCAATATTTCAACAGCATCATTGTCGTTATATCATACCACCATTACAGCTCCCCTCTCCGATATTTATCTTGTTCCCGTAGCAGATCCTTAGATTTCACACCTGGATTTAATTTGGTGCGCAGATATGATACGACGTCGTGATTATGCGAATACAAACGAAAAGATGTCAGCGTCTACAAAGTCATTTAAAACGAGCCATAGAACAATAACAACAGCAGGAATATTTACACCTACTTCGCGTTAGCTAAACAAGGGGCGGTTCGCACGAACACATGTAAAAAAGCATATATATATATGCAAATATAAAGGTTAGAGGACCAAGATCTTAGCGTTGATCAATCCCAGAGGGATGACCCACGCATTCGACTTCATTCAGCAACCTTTGGAAGCCTAGCTAAGAGTAAACCAATACCAGTATCCGCTAGCTACAGCCCTGGTACGAAAGTCGCGTGGTGGCAAATCTCCCTTTTGTCTGCAAGGGTTGCGAATGCCCGTGGTGGTGAAGACCTGGGGAAGACTTTGGCCAGGTTGACCTCGGTATTCCAGTGAACCATAATGGCTTAACCAGCAAATCTCCGGAAAAACGTGCCTATGCTGGGAACCGCACAACCAGTGAGGACGGGCGGTTCAAATACCAAGTAAGTTATCTATTTACTCACCAACCGGGAGGAGCATAGCTCGAATTCGATGCATTGGATGAATCGTCCATTTCTTCTGAAAGCTCCAATACTGAAGTTCATAGAGAGATGAACTTTGCATTACAAACACTTTTCCGAAATGCAAGTCACACGAAATTAATATAAGACCACGACGGCTATTTCAACACATTACGACCGACGTCTAGTTTTAGGTTGCCTGTGGAGCTAGTAACTCGTCTGCCATTCAAACAGCACACAGCATGGTAAGTAAAAGTATGTTTTTCTATAAAGGCCTTGAGAAGTTAGGAACATAAAGTAATTCTGGAGGATCGCTTGATATTCTACTGTAGGGCTACGTATGTTACCATGATCGATCATCCAACCACACCACTGTTAGTGTTTGGGACCCTTTCGCGCAACTTATGTTGTGTATGTCTCGGTATAACTGCCCATTCAATACGGTAAACGTAGTTCATTATAGCGGATGAAATCGAAGTAACAGTTCATTACCATTTTTTATCGGCAGACTACATCAAGCTTGACAATTCAACTCGTCCCAGAAAGTTTTCTGCAAATTAAGAACTGCTACGAACAGGTTTTCTCGGCCAACTTCCGGCGCGACTCGTACGTTGCAACAACTATCTGCCGCTACTACTACAACCCAAATCATACGAAAACCAAAAACTCTAGAAGAGGTGAACCTATCTAGTAAACGTCTGGACTACGTCACCATTATACAACCCTCACCAAATAAGGACGATAGTTTGATGCGACTACCAGATGTACGTTATATACAGTGAAGAAAAACTATTGAGCACGGACCTACACACAGTTTGGTCACGTATGCAACTTAAAAGAAAGTTGACACCATCGCTTATTAGTATCCATACAAGTGAGACAGTTGCTCAAAACAAGAACGTATCACAATAATAAGTGAGTGATAAACTTAACTCTCCAGGTCACGTTGAAAATTTGGAACATTGAAGCATTTCTTATTAAAGGACGCCATCCTATTCTCTATAGAGCACGTTTTCGGCAAGCTAGTATCAAACTGCGACGTTTCGGTTCCTAGCAATGATCATGCAGTAATAATCCAAGCAGTGTCATGATAGTCAAGAGTTACTGAACAGCCCATTTGTTACCATAACTAATGCGCAATTCTCAAAGGTTTGAGAGGCACTTAGGAAGAGCCTTCAATCATTTATTATAAATGGACCTCACCCTGAACTAGGTTATCGAGGCAGTGGACGAGAAATAAGTAGGCATGAGAAAGAGATGATCGTGTTCTTGAGTGACCACGAGTGGTTTGCGAGGAGCGCAAAAAATGCTGTGGAACAGTTTTGAAAGAAATGCAATCTCATGAAGTAGCAAGATCTAGACGAGGTAACGAGCTATAATTCTAGAGATTTTTTAAAAATATACGCTTTTGTGCATCAAATGAAAGATATCAGGGCCTGTTTGCGCAAACTACTATTTATGAACGGCGCGTCATACACCTTTCCAACGGTTTACCGCCTCGTCGTGGCTGGGTGGTGTTCCTGAGTGTCGTACTGCGATATACAGCTGGAGGATTCGTCCTCCTGGCAAGGTCTTCCAAACTGAAGAGTCCGCCGTTTCCACCACGAAACCCAGGTAAGAGTAAACCCATACCAGGATCCACCAACGTCCTGGTATCAAAGTCGCATGGTGGCAAATCTCCCTCTGATCCACGAAGGCGGCGACTGCCGGTGGTGGTAACGACCTAGGGCAGTCATTGGCCAGGCTGACCTCGAAACTCCAGGAAAGCACAACGGCTAAACTAGTGAAAGTTCGAAAAGTGGAGAATAGGCTGGGGCGTGCACAACCAGTGTGGACGGGCCATCCACGTATCCAAGTAAGTATCCATATACCGTGAACGAATTGCACGAAGAATCGCAAGAGTAGGATATATTTTCGCCTAAGTTCTTCACGAACCCCTGAATGCAATCAAACAAAGTACTTACAGCATGGATAGTGTAACCATGTGGAATAAATATGGATGAAAATCTCCACTTTCGGAAGAATGGATGGAACAAAGTGGGAAACTCTCAAGTTTGCAACTGTTCCACAATCTATCCGCTTGGTGCGTCCTAAGTCCTGCAATACGCATGCGAACTTTCTTTCCTATTTTTATCACAATGTTGAAATCTCATATATCGTAGAAAAACTCATCTTCTCACTGTTGGCACCTCACAACCACGTTTGGGTTGCTCTAAGTATACCCATCTTACTACGACACTTGGATATACGGTCATTTGGATCGCCGGTACTCAGTGCNTCCAAACTGAAGAGTCCGCCGTTTCCACCACGAAACCCAGGTAAGAGTAAACCCATACCAGGATCCACCAACGTCCTGGTATCAAAGTCGCATGGTGGCAAATCTCCCTCTGATCCACGAAGGCGGCGACTGCCGGTGGTGGTAACGACCTAGGGCAGACATTGGTCAGGCCTACCTCGAAACTCCAGAGAAACACAATGACTAAACTAACAAAACTTCGAAAAGTGGAGAATATGCTGGGGCTTGCACAACCAGTGTGGACGGGCCATCCACGTATCCAAGTAAGTATCCATATACCGTGAACGAATTGCACGAAGAATCGCAAGAGTAAGGACATATTTTCACCTAAGTTCTTCACGAACCCCTGAATACAATCAAAGAAAATATTTATAGCATGGATAGCGTAACCATGTGGAATAAATATGAACGAAAA